AATATGTGTTTTCCGATGGTCTTAGGCAACCCCTGTGAAAGGATCGTTCGACCCCCCCAAAGGGGTCCCGGCCCAAAGGTTGAGAACCACTGATCTAGCAGCAACCTGTATGTCCTCTGTTGGGAGCCTTTGCCAGAGCTCTTGATGCTCATTAGATGTTGAAGATGCTAGGACTTGAACCTTGAACCGCATGGAAGCACAGCCTGGCCTCTGTCCTGAGATATGGCCCATCCCTATTATTATCATCAGATACATGGTGGAATATTTGGCATGAACTCTTCATCCCAATGTGTTTGCTACAAAGGACAGAACAGTTCTGCAGCTTGAAAATACAGTCTTTCAATGTCTCTGTCTCTCCATCTCTCACACACACCTATGCTGATTGCACGCTCTCTTAATTGTTGAAGGCAAGACACAAGCCCACATTCCAGTTTTGTTCTCCATTCTACTCCTATGCAGACCCGCTAACCAATTTGCTGGTAAACAGTGCGCTAGTTTTAAATCCTTGCTTGAATTAGTTTTAATTTTCCCCAAATTTCATTTAAGATCATGGTAAGGGCTATTTTATACCAAAGGATAAAAACTATTCCCATCCAAAGTAGCCCTACTTCCCCATGATCTGTTAAAGGAGACAAAATTAGAAATTGAGGTTTTCATCTTTAAATAATCTCAATGTTATGTACGTGGTAGAATCAAATTACACCCTGGGCGCAAAAGTTGCTTTTAATTCCCTTTTTTCCCCTTAATAAAGAAAAAGGAAAATTTATCTGGCTACGCAGCATAGCAAATAACTTAGCATCCAGTACTTGCAAGAATTCAGAAATATATATCGTTTCCTTGTCATGCGAGTGAAACCTGAAGTTAAACCAAGTGAAATTTGGAACATGTCCTATTGCTCTAATGAGCTGCTTAATCCTACACCTCTTTTCTCCTGCTATGTAGTCAGTGATATGTCCTAAAATGACTCTTCTTCACCAACTGAAAGATTGCAGGTCATAATCATTAGCACCTTTACTCTCAAGTAGCTACTAGGAGGTTTGTAAGCAACTCACATCTAAAGATAACCCAATCTCTTTGCTTCCTATATGTTTCAGCAAGGAATCTTTGGTGTACAATTTCTATTTAAACAAGCAGTACTGAAAATGGCAGGGGGAATGAAATTAGGATAGTGAGATCAAGGAAGGAAAATATATACATTCCTCAATTCACAGGACTTCAAAATCTCAGTCATATTCTTAGACGGGAGTGATTCAGAAAGGAAGGAAGGAAAGAGGAAGGAAGGAAGGAAGGAAGGAAGGAAGGAAGGAAGGAAG